GGGAAAAAGTGTTTCGTTGGTTCTTTGCATGATGACGATTGGTGTCTTGTACGCCGCATGAGAAGAAGCAGTAGTCTCCAATGATTTTTGGAAAAGCTCGAAGTTTTCTTCTTTAGGCACAAGATAAAAAAAATTGGGTAGAGGAGTAACGGCCATTTAAGCCGTAGAGAAGCTCGAGAATTCAGAGCAAAGACCTATGAGAAACCAATGCACTTTGTCGGTGTCGTTGATGGGTCATCCTATAGAAGTTGATCACAAATAGCCTTGAAGGTGCGTACAAACTCCATAACAGATCGGGTGCCTCATTTCATCATTTGCAAGTCATCTTTGAGACGAATTACAAATTTCACGAGCTTTCAAACGGTGGCTAAAGGTGTTTTCCAAGGCAAGCTATACTTGACGTGCAGTGGAGAGTCCCACAACCTCAACCATGGCCTCATCGGTAAGGGATAATAATAGAAGACTAAGAATATGTTGATCAGTTTGTTTCCAAGCGACAAATGTTGCACTTGGTGTCTGGGAATTTTCAGCGGCAAATCGAGCTGCCATTGAAAAGAGAAAGCAGATTGAGCTAAAAGAGATTATGCCCGGTCTGCTGATACCATGAGAAGACTTTCGAAAACTACCACACTTTGTGGTGAGTTGATTTTGTATATTTATATACAATTACACACGTATATTGAGGTAATTAAAACTATGGAAATAATCAACTCAATAAATCTATAAGCTATAATCGTGCCTCAGTGAAAGGCTTAATTATAGGGTCACAATATGAAGAATAACCGATACCATGAAGTCATGAACTAAGCTAAGGAATCAGCAGTATGATTCCCTACAATGTTCACGTATTTTTTTTAGTTCTAAACTCTAACTATCTCTTATTGTTGAAATACTTTTTGCAACAATTTTCTTTTTCCTTTGTTTCCCTGAGTTCCCAGCCTTTTTCTTTGGCATTGTGACATTATTTTTTTTTTTACTTAAACCATGAAAATTTCTTACTCATTAGTTTGTATATATATTGTATATATCTCTAAGTAAGCATAAGTTATCTAAGCAAAACTATATTTTAATACAATTGCAAAATGTATGTCCCCTTAGATATATTGGTTAATTGTCAATTCCGTTTGTTTAATTTGTTGCATTGATTTAGAATTCCATTTAATTATTTTATCATCCGAGTTCATCAACAAAATGGATGGTAAGGTATAGTACCACGTACCGGTTATACTGTACCGAAAGTAACGGTATACCGTAATTGTTGGTACGATAAAAATAAAGACTTTTACAATATCGCAAGATACGATCAGTACACGACATTGAATAAAATGCTCGGTAACCCTACCAAAACCACCCCATAAAAAAGTATTGGCGATTCATGACAATAAATCATGATTAACCATTTTTTTTTCAGTCGAACAAAATTACTTAATGATGTATGTTATCTAAGAAAAATGTGTGATTATAATTTATTATTATGCATTAGATATTGTATGTAATGAATGATAACAATTATATATTCCACTAAATTAAATTTTATAGGATTACTTTGAAAGTAAACTATTTGTACAATTTCGAATTGATATTTTTATTTTGGTCAAATTGCTACAGATTTCTCTATATTAGATTCTATGTAAATAAATTCAAGTCATAAGTTCCAATTTTTATTAACCTTATTATTTATATACTGTCAAAAACACCCCTAATAAAAATATATATGAGAATTATTATTTTGGAATATGAGGGAAACAAATCTCATATCCTCTCTCTCTCTGTAATATAATATTATTATTTTAGTATTATTTTATTATTGCAAATTGGTGTTTGTTTATCATTTTGTTTGTATTTTTCACTTTGATGTTGCATTTTGTAACTTGTTGCTGCAAATTGTATTTTGTATTTTGTTGTTGTATGCAATTTGCATTTTGATGAAACAACTTGGAAAACAATAAATTTTGGCAAAAAAATAATTGGAAATTTAAAAATAATCTCGAAAAATATGCAAATAAATGTGGTGAAATTATACCAAAAAATATAACAAGTAAAATGCCATATTACAACAATCTTTTTAATGTTAAATATGCATTTTCAAATTATTTTTGTTCTTTGCCATTTGTTGAATTATACTTAAGATTACTATTAGTTATGTATTGATTTCTTAAAATTGATGGATATGAATATATTCAATTAATTGTTCCAACAACAATATGTAGCAAGCATATTGCATTTTTCAACACATATTTTCGTTGTATAATTTAATTATTCTTTTAGTTATTTATGTCTATAGAAGAAAAAAAATAATGTATTTGAATTTAAAATACAAATTAAATTGTGTTTGTGGAGTAAGTGTTAGAAATGACAGTTTAGTGGGTAAGTGTTATAGAGTGTATAGTTTAGTGGTGTAAACTGTATTTAACCCTAACTTAAAAAATGAAAATTATTATTTCCCCCATTATAAATATCGTTTACTATTTTTGTAGCTTTTGTATCTAGTGGTGGCAACAATATAAATATTTTAAAATTATTTATTCCAATTTAAATGGATTTTATGTTTATCAAAGTAATTAAATTAGACATAATTCACCAAACAATAACATAAAAAAATACAATTACTATTTTACAATTATAAAAAAGAAAAAATTACCCAATTTTGAATCTTTTATCTAGTTGTGGTTACGAAATTAATATTTTAAAACTAATATATCCCATTTGAATGGGTTTAGGTTTGTCAAAATAATTAAAATTCTAAAGCACACACAATTCACAAAACAATAGTTTAAAAATCGAAAATTATTATTTTCGATTATATTTTTTACCACATTTAATAAAATATTTTAGTTAGTTTTCGTAACGAAATATATATTTTAAAAATTATTTATCTGAATTTTAGAGGTTTGTCAGAACAATTAAGATAGTACAGCACACATAATTAATCAAACAATATTAACTGAAAATACAAAAACTATTAGTTTATCACTGTAAAATCCCGTTTCACTTATTTTTTAAATATGTAATCTCGTGGTTGTAGAAATGTATGTATTTTAAAAATTATTTAAGCATATTTAAATGGTTTAAAAATAGTCAAAGTAATTGAAATAGTTCGATACACATAAATCATTGGACAATAACTTAAAAAAATAAAAATATTATTTACGGTTATAAAATTTCGTTTTCCCCTTTTATATATTTTCTCTAGTGATAAGTAATAAAAAATAGATATCTTGTAAATTATTACCCAAGTCTACATGGGTTTAGATTAGTTACAACAACTAAATTAGTTCAAAGTTCAAACCACATAATTCACGAAACAATAACTTAAAAAATAAAAATTATTATTGACCTTTACTATATTTCTAATACTTTTTCATTTAAATCATATATCTCTTGTTGGTAACGAAATATAAAATTTTAAAAATTATGTATCTCAATTTAAATGAGTCTAGGTTAAGCTCCTAGTATATTAAAATAGTTCAAAACACATAATCACTAAAGAATAACTTAAAAAGATGAAAACTATTAATTCTACCATTATGCAATATCTTTCACCAAATTATTACTATCTTTATCCCATGGTGGTAACCGTATAAATATTTAAACTTTATTTATCTCAATTTGAATAGTTTTAGGTTTGTTGAAACGATTTAAATAGTACAACGCACATAATTCACGAAATAATTTGCTATTTTAATCAATGGCTCCTAAGCGAGGACTCTTCATTTCCCCGCCCATCTTTCCACACACACACACATATATATATATATATACATATATATATATATATATATATATATATATATATATATATATATATATATATATATATATATATATATATATATATATATATATATATATCTTTCATTTCTTCCTCCCCCTTTCCAGAATTCGAAATATGCTATGCCGCCTCCTAGCTTCCTTCGCCGCCTTTAGCTGCTTCCGTCGTCTGCCGTTGTATTAAGAACCACCATACACGAACTCTTTTTTCCCTTACTTCTCGAATCTCTCCTAGTACAAATATTCCCTGATCCTCTTTGTTAGAATCCGAGAGGATTCTATTTCGGTTTTTCAAGACGTGTACGAAAAACGTGTATAAAAACTAGGGAAGTTTCCTTAGTTCTTTAAACTCTTATTTTGTCATTAATTTATTTAATTACCTTAGTGTTTGATTAACAAGGAATTTATTTGGCTAAGACTTTCCTTGTTGTCATAATTCCTTGTTCCTTACGTGAAGAATTTATCTAACCTAATGGGCTCTAATTTTGTAGGGCTCTACTAATACAACTAAGGAAGTATAAGAAGAGCAGCATCAACGTCGTCATAGGTCGTCCCTTTTATTTGAGAGAAAAACTTTTTCTGCTCTTGCGTTGCTGCACCTGAGTTGTGATCTTATTCGAGAAGAAAAACACAGCAAACGATTTGCTTCTTTCACGCGAAAAGAAGATCGGTTCTTCGGGAGAAGAACTCAGAAGATCTCGGGAGGAGGTCGATCCGCCGACTGAGGGACTCAGCGTTGAAGAAATTTCAACCGTGCGGAAAGGGACGTGCTGCAAAGTGAAGATTGACAATTCAGCGTAGGATACAAGAACGGCGTCGACAAAGAGGGAGTCTTTGCATTTTCGATTAAGTCCTATTACTGTATTCGTAAAACTAAAAATTAGTGAATTTCATTTGCAGGTCCCCGTGGATGTAGGGTACAATTGTATCCGAACCACTTTAAAATTTGTGTCTTTTTATTACTGTTCCATTAACTGTTGCAACTCTTCGTAAAACAGTAGAACAGTAGCTAAAACTGAATCTGGGATTTATCGGACACAAATTTATAATTAATTTGCACGAAATAATTCTAACAATTGGCATCAGAGCCTGTCACTAAATACATCTAGTGAGATTTTGGGAACTAACTACTCTTATTTTGTGCAGATATGAATACTCAACGAGAAGGATCGTCAACTACTCGCCCACCTCTCCTAATCGGATCAAACTACTCATATTGGAAATCAAAAATGAAGATGTTTATCAAATCCATAGATGAGAGAGCATGGCGCGCCATCATAACTGGTTGGACACCTCCCATGGTCAAAGGAGAAGACAAAATGGAAGTTTTCAAACCAGAAGCAGATTGGAGTGACGTAGAGATACTACTCGCAAACTACAACTCAAGGGCCCTAAACGCAATATTTAGTGGTGTTGATGATAATCAATTTAAACTAATAGCGTCATGTGAATCTGCTAAAAGAGCTTGGGAAATCCTTCAAGTTACATACGAAGGAACGTCAACTGTGAGGACGTCGAAGTTACAAATGCTGGCCACCAAGTTCGAAAATTTGAAGATGGAAGAGAATGAGACGATCACTGACTTCCATGCTAAATTATGTGATATCTCCAATGAATCATATGCACTCGGTGAACCTTACTCTGAAAGCAAATTGGTGAGAAAGGCGATGCGCTCATTACCTGAAAGATTTGCTTACCGAATTGCTGCCATTGAAGAAGTCAGAGATGTTGACACGCTCAAACTAGACGAACTCATGGGGAAACTTCTGGCACAAGAACTCAATCATGGTGAAAATCATCGTGAAAAGCCTAGAGAAAAGAAGATAGCCTTTCAAGCAGAAACTTCATATGCAACACCCCAAAATTCGTCAACTCAAGAAGATGAGCAGACGGTAGAGGAATCCTTGGCAATACTATCGAAAAATTTTGGGAAATTTCTCAAAAAGATCGGTAAAAGGGGAAATTTTCCAAGCACAGGGAAAACCGTGAACTTTCAAAATTCGAGGAGAAATTCAAATCAAGATAACTCAGAGGAGTCAAAACCAAGAAGAATACAATGTCGAGAATGCGAAGGTTTTGGTCACATTCAATCAGAATGCGCAAACACCCTGAAGAAAAAGAAGAAAATATCACTTACTACTGTTTGGAGCGATGAAGAAGAATCTGATGATGACCAAGGAAACAACGATCAAGTCACTAACTTTGTAGCATTCAGCAGCAAAGTTCCTCTGGACAACTCAGAATCAACTGTTGCTTCAACTGTTGCAACAGACTGTGAAACAGAATCCAGCAAAGTTCCTCTGGACAACTCAGAATCAACTGTTGCTTCAACTGTTGCAACAGACTGTGAAACAGAATCCAGGTATGAAAATATGTGTTCTGATTATGACAAAAATCTAAACGAAAATTCTTCTTTTGCGGAGGATCCGAACAGCAGCAGTGATGAGGAAGAACCAACCTTGGATGAAGTAAAGGAGGTATATGAAAAAATGTACCAAAAATGGCTCGACGTCGTTAAGGTAAATAACTTCCTGGAAAAGGAGAAGTTTGTGCTTATAGAGGAAAACAAGACACTAAAGGTAAGAATCTCTACTCTTGAGGAAAGGATCATATCTAGTGATCAAGAGAAAAATAGTTTGCAGGCTAAACTTACTCAAACTCAAGAAGCAATTGCAAAATTGAACTTGGGTAGAGGTAATCTAGATGAAATCTTAAGCAACAACAAGCCAAACTATAATCGTCTAGGCATAGGAGGGAGTCAGCTACCCAAAGTTGATCTAAAGCGAAAGGAAGATCAAAACAGAAAAATCAACTTTGTTAAACAAGCTTCTGTCTCACAAACAGTTGCAACTGTTGAAGCAACGAAACACCATTCAAAGAAAAGGTTTATTCCCACTTGTTTTTTCTGTCAAAATCCAGGTCACATACGTCCTAGATGCTTCAAATATTTAAAACTTGTGAAAAAGCTTGTGGCTCGTTCTCTTTACTCTGCTAGGGCTGATTATTTTCCTTCACCCTCTCAAAAACCCAAAAATAAAATTGATATTTCCAATAGACCTCAGCAAAAAATTTGGGTTGAAAAGTCCACGTTTAAATGCTTATCTGCGATTACTTCTTTAAAAGCAAGTACTACTAATGATTGGTATTTTGACAGTGGGTGTTCACGACATATGACCGGTGTTAAAGAGTTTCTGAAAAACTATCAACAAATCACTGGTGGAGCTGTCACCTTTGGAAACGGAAAAAATGGTGAAGTGCTAGGGAAATGATCGCTAAATCATGAGAATCTCCCAAAGCTGAAGAATGTACTACTTGTAGAAGGACTCACGTCAAATCTGATAAGCATCAACCAGCTATGTGATCAAGATCTTGAAGTCAGATTCAACAAATTCGCATGTCGAGTATTAGACAAAGACGAGAATTGTGTTATTCAAGGAACTCGAGCATCTGACAACTGCTATATTCTTGTCTCTGCTGGACCACTGGAAGAGGAACCAACAAAGGAATTGGAAAACAGCTCCAGTGTCGCACCAACAGTTCCAACAGTTGATGCAGCCTCTACCATTTCAGAAGAAAGTGACGTCAATTCTGAAACAGGAGACGAAGCTGAAGTCAGGTCTCTCGAATTGGATGATCAAACTCACACGGAACCCTCAAGAAGAGTCAAGAAGAATCATCCAGTGGATCAAGTCATTGGTTCGGTAGAAAAAGGAATTCAAACCCGAGGCTTTAGCGATGCTGATTGGGCAGGTGATGCAGGCGATCGAAAAAGCACAACTGGAGGATGCCTCTATCTTGGGAACAATCTCGTGTCCTGGTACAACAAAAAACTCTTATGGACGAGACAACTCTTATGGATGAAACAAATGGTATGTGATTATGGTATTAGTCAAGATTTATTGCATATTTATTGTGACATTATGAGTGCAATTAATATTTCCAAGAATCCAGTACAGCACTCTCGAACTAAGCATATTGAAATTCGCTACCATTTCATTAGAAATCTTGTAGAGGAAGGAACTGTCTCATTAGAGTATGTCACAACGGAGAAACAACTTGCTGACATCTTTACTAAACCCCTAGATGCACAAAGGTTTGATTCCTTGCGAAATTCGCTTGGAATTTGTATTGTCTGACCTGTGCAGTTGCATAAACTGTTGCAACAGTCTGTGTCCAGACTTGCAACTTTTAAAAGTTTTATGGACACATCACGCATACTGCATTTTGTTCATCTAGGTTATGCATTAGACATATTGCATGTGATGAGACCCCTTGTGTATTGGATACTATCTGTACTTTCGAATCTTGTGAGGTAGAACTTCATCAATCCCCAAATGATAGCTACAGAGGCTTTAGCTTATTTACTACCCTTCACAGTCTTGTCATGGTTGAACACACTCATAAGGAAAAGCTGCCGCTTCAAATGAGTGAAAGCTACTCTTGAATTTTCGTTAATTCTATATATAAAATGTCAATCAACTGGTCTGTGAATAGTTCGAAGCCTTTTTGAGTTGAGTCAGTAAATCACGTGGCCGAAAGCTCGCTACAAGGCTCAATTAGAAAGCCCAAGGGACTACACATTGCACGACCATTATAAATTTTATATGCGGTCAGTGAATAGTTCGAAGCCTTTTTGAGTCGAGCCGGTAAACCACATGACCGAACACTCACTACACGACTCAATTAGAAAGCCCAGGGGACTACACATTGCACGATCATAACTATCTCGCTATTTTAATTGCTCTGCTCTTCATGAAAAAGCTACCTTTGATAGTGTGTGTATGCTGCCTAATAAGAGTGTTTTTGTGCTTGATTTGAGGATACTAAATTTGCTGTTAGTCTCCTTAGTCTATCTCTTGGAGCTTGCTTTTTGTTAAAATTGAAGATAAACCCCATGGTTTGATAGTCCTAATAGTATCCTATTCACTTGTGTTTATTCACTCATTTTTTTTCCACGTTTATTTTTCGTCTTAGTTATTTGCCTCTGCATGTTAGGCATTTATTTATTTATTATTAAAAAAAAAAAAAAAAAAAAAAAAAAAAAAAAATCCGGGGTGGGTTCGTAATTTTTGGCGGCAATATATTTCTTCGGAGTAACTCACTGTTCTGAGCATTTTTTTTCTTCTCGAAGTTTATTTGAATTGTGTTGGGCTTCATATGCGAAAGTTGAGAGTTGCTGTATCTGAATTTGATTTTCATTAATTGAATTTATTGTGAGCATAATTATTATATTTGCAATTCTCTCACTTGACTATTCCTAATTGTTAAACTACCCCTGAGAAGACCAACAGTTACCCATGTTTATGCCCCTTTTCGTTTTTTTTCTCCATATTGGTTTTCTTCTCTACTGCTCTCTTTTCCTTCTTTCTCCTTTGCAGCAAATCACAAATCTGCACTCAAATCAAAGGAATCCAAGAGCACAGTTATGGGGAAACGAAAAAGCACCGGTGGATCGTCTTCTTCGTCCAAACGACAACCATCTCGACCAGCAACCGCGTCTTCGGCAGCTCCTCCGCCGCGACGCCGCTCCGATGACCGCCCTGCCTTCGAAGAGCCGTTGGATGCCGTGCCTCTTGCCTTTTGGGAGCCCCCACTCCTTCTCACGGCCGCCTCCGCTGAAAATTTTGGTCCCTAGGTTTTCTCCACCGCTGTCGCCGCCAGTCTCACCGCCGTGACCGTTCATCTATTCTCCACCATCTCCTCTACTGCCACACTCGCCGGCTGCCCAATCGTCACCACCACCGTGTGCACCGCCATCGCAACCACCCAAACCGGCCTCACCTGCACCCCGCCACCTCGCCGCTCTCGTCGACGCGTTACTCACTCTGCCTCGCCTTCCGCTACTCGCACCACCGCAGGTCACTCTGCACCGGATCCCGTGGTGCCTATCTCTGCTGTCGATGCTTTTAATTCTCGGTTCTTTCTCCGAGCGCATCAAACCCGGTGGCGTCTGTCAAGTGGTTCATGATTTTTATGCCAACCTACCTAGTGGGGTCTCTGATTTTCGAGGTCGTTTTTACTAAGGAGAAACTCGACTATTTTACTGCCCTTGCTCAGAAAGGGGGAGATTACTCTTGAGGGGGAGTTGACAACGAAGCATCAACCCAGGAGGAACCACATACAGGGGGAGCTGATGCAGCTGCTGGAACTACTACTGAACTGTTGTTGCTCCAACTGTTCCAACAGTTGATGGTACAACAGCTGAAGTTGATACGAATGATGACGAGGAGTTGTTCGTTGATGCTGAATATATTCTGGAGTAGTTTTTTTGTGGTTGTCGAATTGATTTTCTGAACAACGGCCTCTAATAGTCTGCTAGGCTTAACTTTTTTCTTGTTTCGTTAACTGCTTTTTCCTTTAACTGTTCTAACAGTTACTCTATTATGCAGTCTAATGTTTTGTCAGGTATTTGATCAAGGGGGAGGACTTGATTATAATAAATAGATGACAAAGGGGGAGATTGTTAGAATCCGAGAGGATTCTATTTCGGTTTTTCAAGACGTGTACGAAAAACGTGTATAAAAACTAGGGAAGTTTCCTTAGTTCTTTAAACTCTTATTTTGTCATTAATTTATTTAATTACCTTAGTGTTTGATTAACAAGGAATTTATTTGGCTAAGACTTTCCTTGTTGTCATAATTCCTTGTTCCTTACGTGAAGAATTTATCTAACCTAATGGGCTCTAATTTTGTAGGGCTCTACTAATACAACTAAGGAAGTATAAGAAGAGCAGCATCAACGTCGTCATAGGTCGTCCCTTTTATTTGAGAGAAAAACTTTTTCTGCTCTTGCGTTGCTGCACCTGAGTTGTGATCTTATTCGAGAAGAAAAACACAGCAAACGATTTGCTTCTTTCACGCGAAAAGAAGATCGGTTCTTCGGGAGAAGAACTCAGAAGATCTCGGGAGGAGGTCGATCCGCCGACTGAGGGACTCAGCGTTGAAGAAATTTCAACCGTGCGGAAAGGGACGTGCTGCAAAGTGAAGATTGACAATTCAGCGTAGGATACAAGAACGGCGTCGACAAAGAGGGAGTCTTTGCATTTTCGATTAAGTCCTATTACTGTATTCGTAAAACTAAAAATTAGTGAATTTCATTTGCAGGTCCCCGTGGATGTAGGGTACAATTGTATCCGAACCACTTTAAAATTTGTGTCTTTTTATTACTGTTCCATTAACTGTTGCAACTCTTCGTAAAACAGTAGAACAGTAGCTAAAACTGAATCTGGGATTTATCGGACACAAATTTATAATTAATTTGCACGAAATAATTCTAACACTCTTATTTCTAGATCTTATAGTTATGGCCTTAAACCCTTCTTCTTCGTCGCCCGCCTCTCCCTCTCCCCCTTTCAAGTAGGGAGCTAGCTAGTCTTAGTATAAAACAACCCTCAGCGAAATCTCCCGTTATAGTCCAAACTAGGCATAAGTTACAATTAGTATAACGCTGAAGTTATCGTTGAGATGGATATCTCAGACAAAAAATAACAGAGAGACCGGGCCTGGTGCCCCATCTCGTAAGAAAAGCCGAATTGTCCCCACTTCTAGGCCGTCCAACATGATCGACCTTAGCTCCAGTACCCGTACTGAGGCGCAGCTGGGTCTAGCATTAGTGTGGGAGCTGGGAAGGTTATAGCTTTGCTAAATGCGAAGATGCGTTTGAGATTGGACGAGTCCTCCGACAGCAAGCGACCCCCAGAGATCGTGATGTTTGGTGCAAAATGAACCTAGATGCGCGAATTGACCTATCCAACTATCACCTGGCTAAGCTAAATCTTTGCTTGTACTTATAAGTTAACACTTTCTTGTCTAATTTTTTATATATCTTTCGTTATAGTACAACTGAACACTATCTGGGTGACTTGCCCTTCCCAGCGGAGTGATACTCTCTGAGAGGCTTACAGTTCACTACAAACGAAGCTCCAGCAGTTGTGCGAGGAAAAAGAGGTGTTGGAGAAGCAAAACGAGAAGCTGGAAGATGACTTGAACAACCTTCGCGTTGAGAAGGATTCTCTTAAAGAGAAGACTTCGCTCATGAAAGAGGAGCATAAGCAAACCCTGAGCTAACTATCCGAGGTGATGGATAACAACTCTTTGCGTTATGAAGAAGGGCACCGCGCGGGCCATACGGAATTCCTCCTTTCAACTCGCGGGGAATACTTTCGAGACGAGTTCGTCAAATCCTTCCTCGCCCGACTTTGGAAGTTGATGCTATTTTTCACGCAGACCGTGTCCATCTTCAAGTTTTTCTGGTCGGAGGGGAGTCGAGTTTCGCAGCTAGAGACCGATGTCGCCTGATTGCCTCTTAAGCTAGACGAGAAGGAGATGTCTAAGAAAGCCAGTAAGAATATCCCTGGTTGGGGAGGCGACCCAAAAGAGAAGGTAGATTTAGCATGATGGGTGCAAATATTTTCCTCGGTGGCGAATCGAGTATGTCCTATCCCGACATCAACAACCCACGTTGGCCCTCTAGATCTCAAGTGGGCGAGGATGATGATGAAGAAGATGAGACCGGCCTCGTGGTCGACGCCTATGATCCTACCAATGATGAAGACGAAGTTGGGATCGACAAAGTCCTAGAGAAGTCGCCGGAATGAGTTCTAGACCAGCTTCTATTTATTTTCTTATTTCCTTTCTTATGCCTGTACAATTTGCTATTTTGTCTGCTGCTACAATCCTCTGCTTGTTCTTTGCACGACTTTTGATTTTCGGGTTGTATTATTTTTTCAAATCATGCCACTCCTTTGTTTCCTCTTGTTAGTTTCATCGTTTTTATGCAAATAATTCGAACTCGCTTAGTTTTATGCATATCAGGACCTTCATAATTCACTCGGGTTTTGATAGAGCCCCTTAAGCCATACATTCCTTTTACTATTGATCCCTCACGATTTTTAATAACTTTATTCGGGTCGAGGTTGTAACGAAATTAACTATTTTTTTGGACCGGAATAGCGGGAATCTTCCAACCTTTAGCGAATTTAACTACTTTTGGGCTGATGCCGCGGAAATTTTCCAGCCTTTAGCGAATTTAAGTATTTTTAGGGACAAGGCCGCGGGAATATTCCAACCCTTAGCAAAATTAACTACTTTTTGGGGCAAGGTCGCGGGAATCTTCCAACCCTTGCGATCTCAACTACTTTTCGGGCCGAGATCGCGGGAATCTTCCAACCCTTAATAAACTTAACTACTTTTTGAGCCAAGGCCGCGGGAATCTTCCTGCCCTAGCGATCTCAATTACTTTTTGGGTCGAGACCATGTGAATCTCCCAACCCTTAGCAATCTCAATTATTTTTTAGCCGAGGCCGCGAGAATCTTCCAACCCTTAACAAACTTAACTACCTTTTCGATCGAGGCCGCGGGAATCTTCGAACCGTTAGAAAACATACCTACCTTTTGGGCCATGGCCGAGGGAATCTTCCAACCCTTAGCGATCTGAATAATTTTTTAGGCTGAGGCCCCGGGAATCGTCCAACCCATAGCAAATTTTCATTATTGTTTATGTATTGCATGCGTGTATAAACATGTTTGCAAATTAAGACTAGAAAGTGAATGACAAGAGACACGAGATTTTTTTTAACCTGGGAACCCCCAAGGTGGGGAAAAAAAACCACGGGGCCAAAGGCCCTCCGGGAAAAATCCACTTATTCACGAAAACAAGAAAAAGATACAAACCAATTAAATATCTACCCTTTCTCTATCTATCATCTTTTTTATTTTATTTTTATTTTTTGAATTATAAAATTTTTGACCTCCACCAATGGAGGGAACTTGCTAAGCATAGAACATCGGAAGGTGACACATGTTCCATGTCTGTGGGACCTTCTTCTAGAGAGATCTTGCAACTATGACCTTCGTAACCAGATTGGGGCCTTCCAAGTTAGCTTCTAACTTGCCCGTATATTTTAAGGCGTTTGCTCGTCTCAACACAAGGTCTCCCACCTTGAAACTTCGTGGATTGTCTTGACAGTCATAACGTGCCTTTACATCATTCTCACTATCTGATAGAAGATGAATATTTGGAGAAGGAGAGAATTAATTCTCTCTCACGTTTGTTGTAATACATTACATGTGTGAAAACCCTAACCATTTACAAAAAAATAACTAGAAGATATACATGCCAATATTACAATATTTATCTATAATATATATTAGTACATAAATCGGCTAATACACCCCCGCAGACTGGAGAAAAATTCTTGAAAGAGTGGGGCAGGAAGCCCTCTGGTGAAGACGTCAACGAACTGATGTGTGGACGTGACATGGAGGAAACGAACGTGTCCCAAGGCGACTTTGTCCCAGACAAACTGTATGTCAAGTTCCACGTGTTTGGTGCGTGCATGTTGATTCGGGTTGATGTACAGATAGATAGCACTCATATTGTGGCAATAGACAATGGTTGCTTTCTTCGGTGGACATAGTATTTCGGTCAGAAGCTTACGCACCCATGTCGTTTCAGTAACGACATTTGCTATAGCCCTGTATTCAGCCTCCGCACTTGAGCGGTATATAGTCACTTCTCGTTTGGAGGACCAGGAGATAAGGTTGTCGCCCGGAAAGACACAATAGCCCAAAGTAGATCGGTGAGTGTCAAGGCATCCACCCCAATTGGCATCAGAGTACGCAATAAGATACATCT